AACGTCGATTACGAGACGGGGCGGTTCGGCGAGGGCGAAAAGGGCATGCTCTTGAAGAAGCTCATGTCGGATCGCCGGGTCGATGCGGGCTCCAAGTGGACGCCCGTCTTTGGCAAGTATGCGTTCTTGGTCGATGGCCTCGACGGAGTTGACGTATCGGTTGGCGACGAGGTGGCTGTCACGAAGAGGACGAGCGAGAGGCCAGTGTGGGATTGGCCGTACAAGGACAAGACGATTGCTCGCTTCTACCGATATGCGTAGATCTTTTTGTTTCTTCTAATAACGCGAGTAGCACTACTACTCAGCCGAAACCTGCTTTTTCGTTCAAATCTTGCCCTCGGTTTGAAGTAAGCAAGAAAGGCAAGCAAACTATTGCATCCGTTCTACCCATATGACCTGCCCGTCACAAGGGGTGCTGTCGTTGTTACATCACCTGCCCAACACGGGGGAGATGCCACTTGTTGCCGCACATGGCACAGGATCAGATCGCCTCGCACGGCAAAAATCTTTGTATCACGGCTCTTTTTTTGCCTCTTCCCGCGGGAAGGAGTACCAGTATTCGTGTTCCACGGAAGACGCAAATCCATAGAAACGGGAAATCAAGGATCCATTGAATCTCGGAGTATTTCTTTAGTATTCCTTTCTCCCCCTATTAAAAGTAAATTTGTTTTCTCTGCTTCTTTTGTACTAAAGATGAACCTCTCGATTCCTCTCTATGAAAGGAGATGCAAATTCTTTGCTCATCTCGCTTTGTTTCCCTCAAATCAGTGGAATGCTAGTGACCAACTGAAATCAAGTAAAGTAATGGAACGCGTACAGAGCAGTTTCTATCCATTGCTGATGGCAGCGTAGCACAACACAGAATAATCTCCATAGAACAAAAAGACTATCCCGTAGACCCTTGTCAAAGACAAGGCGTATTGTATCAATGTCTAGGGGGTCACGAAACTCACTCGCAGCCAGACTCACAAGCCCTTCTGTTGATCTGTACGAGTATCATTACCAAGCAATTATAGAGCATCGTATGACAAGTGGTGTGTTAAAAGTAATCATTGTGTCCCGTGTCTATTTACTATCTAAGTCATGCTCATGTCTCTAGATTGGAGTTTCCCTTGCCTTACGGCAAAACCAGTCTATCCATGGGGTTACTCGTACGTTGAGATAGCCCCGTCCATACCATCTAAATCTCAAATTGCGCCGGTCAACGGGGTCATGAGAGAACGGCACTGACCAAGTGAACAAAAGCCAACCGAAAAACCTGGCCAGAAAAAGGCAAAGACCAACCATTAGCCCAAGAATATCAAGACTCCAGCATACCAAAACCAGAAGGGGGAAAAGAAAGCAAAAAGGATAATAACAAGTCTGGTGACCAAGCAGTGCAAACGGCTATTGCAGCGCAGAGAGCAGCACCTTGTCAGACAAAACCCTGATCATGAACGGAGGGCCAAAGCTCCGGCCAAAGCTCCGCCCAGCAACCTTGTCCTAGCCCTTGTCCTTTCCAAAAGGAATAGGTAAAATGGGGAATACGAGGGCGAAGTAAGTCACCGGTGAGCATGATGAGGACCAAGGCTGCCAGGATGTGGCCACAGCACACCTCCCCGCTTCCGATTCTAGAGTCGCCGAATCCCGTCTTGATGCCATCTCATAGGTCCAAGTTGTGTCCACTAGCAGAGTAACCTCCGGAGCAGGGGGCCTTGTTCCCAGCTTATGGGGCGCGTCGCCAAAAAGGGAGCCGCCCACGTGGGACTTGCAGTTCCAACTACATGGAAGCTTGTAAATGATGAACATGACGGGGGGCGAACGCTGCCGCTTCTGCAAGTAATACTGCAGGCAAAACCAATTCTGGCATTGTGGCCGTACGAGTACAACTACCAGCAGCTGTAAACCAGTTTGCACAAAGGGCAAGGATGGGGTAGGTGAAGAACACCAAACCACGAAATGCTGCTGAGTAAGATGTGTCGTTATAAAGCAAAACAAAAGAAAAAAAAAACTTTCAAAAGATAGTCATGATTCGTGGAGGCCGTATCAGTCAAAGTGTTGTTAGGGGGGCGAGTGGCTCGCCAAGAGTGAGTTGGTCGTCCCAATAAGGGTAGTGGGCGGCATTCAAGATGGAATGATCATCGTGAATAACGAAGGGGGCATCATCAACCAGGATTGACCGAGGAGAAAAGAGCAATCTTCCAAATGGCCAGCCATGTAAATGGTCAATCCGGTAGTCGTTGTCGATGCCAGTCTTGTCTGATACACTAGCTTAGGCTGCCTGGGTGCATGGGCGGCAAAGATGAAGCTTGCAGTATGTGCATTCGTAGATGGCCCAGTGAGGTCCCGACCGGCAATGTTGGCAAACCCACTGAACAAGAGTATTGTCAGACTTGATCATGACAAAGGAGTGGGCGCAAGAGACTGCCATTGTCATTGGGTTTGCTGTTGATGGTCGGCTTTGCAGAGCCTTGTGATTGAGTCAGGAGGAGTTGGTTGGCTATCAGAGGCGAAGTCTCTGAAAGAGATAGATTCTTTGACTGATTCTATCAAAGAGCAATAAGAATCCGGACAGTGTGAAGCCAAGCAACCTTGACTCAAGACGGCTGATGCAAATAGACGATATAGCAGAGCCTTGGTATGAATGTCAGACTGTGGCGGCTTACAAGAGATGAAGGTGTCTCTTTAAGTTTTCAACGGTGGAGAGTTTCTTCAAAGATGAAAGCTTGTTAGGGAAGAAGAGGTTTTGCCTGAACAATGGGTGAATAATGGGAGAACAATCAAGGTGAAATTTAGAGGTGAATGGTTGAGTGTTGGTGGTCATGAACGATAGACCAGAGGGCTGCGAATAGCAAGCTTATATGTATTGTCGGCGTCCTGAGTCGGCAGCTAGTCTTGCTATCCGCGTGTTTGCAAAAGAGCTCCTAGTTGTAGCTTCTCTCTAAAACAGTTACCACTGGGATGTTCAGGGATAACACGCTGGGAGGCACGGGACGTGGTGAAGAGCAGGGGAGGGTCGATAAGCCGCCCCGGGAGGCGGGCGCGGCCTGTCAAAAATTCTGGAGCAGTATGACGATGTAAAGCTAAAGATCCGTGCCCGATAATTGCGACCGAGTGACGAAACAGCTGGCCAGGGTATATCAACAGAAATAGAACAAACCAACAAGGCGTTTGTTTGATCCTCGCAGGCCGGGAAGGAAACGGGGATGCGGGAGCGGGTGCCGACAGAGATGTAACACCGGAGCCAGTTCCGGCGGTAGAGAAGTGCCGAAGTGTTTCTGGAAGGCGACGAAGCGGGAGTGTGTTTGACGTCGACGACGACGATGAACGGAATTAATCAATGGCAGGCGAAGTGAACTGGCGGGCTGCTTGCCACACGAGCCTCTGCAGAAGAATGTCAATTGTCAATCACGCCGTTTTCCCCGTTGTCAATTGACAATGAGAGGTGCACAACCCGTGCAAGGATATTCGAGAGGGAGGGGTAGAAGGAGGGAGGAGAGGAAGCAGAGGAGGAGGAGGAGGAGGAGACAGAGGGGTTGAGGACAAGGACGGGGATGATGTGATGATGTGATTGATGATGGAGCAGAAAAGAGAAGGGAATGAAAATGGCGAGGAGGAGAGAAAAGGAAGGGGGGCGTGTGGTTGAGGACGTCACGTCAGGCAAGGGATGAATGCATTGGCTGCATGTGAATAGAGACAGCACGGCCAAGGGAAGGATGCAGCCAATGCATATGTACACGCAACTTAATATAAGAGGTACTTACTTACATGCAGCCCGCAAAGCAAGGCAAGGCAAGGCAAGGCAAGGTACATTGGCTGTGCACTCTGCATACCTCGAGGTACCTAGCTCAAGACCCAAGACGAGAAGCAGGGCAGATGCCCTGCAGCCCAACTGTTCATCCGGGGGGAGCTTGGGGCAGCAAAAGATGCCTGATAGTACCTTGGTAGAGCGCATCTAGACTTTGATGTTACATACCTATGCTGGAACGCTTCACTTGATTTCAAATGGCTCGAATCTCTTGTCTCGTCTCTCGTCTCTCATCTCTCATCTCTCATCTCTTCTCTCCTGCAAGTACAAGCATACAAGCACTCGTACATTGCCAGGTGCCTCTGTGGAGCTGCAGCAGCACGGCGTCCCGGCGGGATGGAAGGATAATCAGATCATCGCGCATAGCCCTCCTGGCCCTGGCCCTGGGGGGGGGGGGGGGGGGGGGGGGGGGGGGGGGGGGGGGGGGGGGGGGGGGGGGGGGGGGGGGGGGGGGGGGGG